TATTATTATTATTATTATTATTATTATTATTATTATTATTATTATTATTATTATTATTATTATTATTATTATTATTATTATTATTATTATTATTATTATTATTATTATTATTATTATTATTATTATTATTATTATTATTATTATTATTATTATTATTATTATTATTATTATTATTATTATTATTATTATTATTATTATTATTATTATTATTATTATTATTATTATTATTATTATTATTATTATTATTATTGTTATTATTATTATTGTTAATTATTATTATTATTATTTTTACTGATCTCATTATTTATTATATATTTACTATTATTATTGTTATTGTTATCATTATTTATTGTTACTATTATTATTATTGCCTGATAACTTTAGGCAAGTAATCAATGACGTTTAATAAAATATAGAAAATACATATTTTAATCAGTTAAATAGGGAAAAAAGTCGCTTTCTTATTCAATTACAAATATACATTACGGGATGATGTTGTGTGTCGAACTGGATGGACTGAACAGAATGATTTACAAAATCAGATTCACATAAAAGGATAAAGTTCGTGAAAACAAATAGGATACTGAGTGACAATCTCGTTGTTCGGGGAGGATACTCTGGGGAGAGAATATGGCGCATGTAATGTGTTGACTTTATCTCTTGGCAGTTAACAAAAAGCATTCGCAAACGAAGGTTCTTATGCTTGGTAATTTTAACGTTTGATGTGATCGAATGGGCAGAATGAGGACAGGCTGTGCCAAGAGTCGTCGCAATCGAGACGCTAGTAGCAGCACCACGACACCTCTTTACAAATAATTGGAAAATAGAACTCTAATGAGGACCAATGGTTAAATTTGTGTGTACGTGGGTGCATGTGTATGTGTATGTCGCTGCCCATCATCAGGAAATGATTAAGATATAAAGGGAGAGACTGGTACGTCAATTGTATTTTAGGGTGAGAGCACTGGACGAATTCAGTTGCAAGAGTTACTTGAAGCATCCTCTAAGGGTGACGTATCGATCTTCAGCCAGAGTCGAGCAGAGGCGGTTTCAGCCATGAGCAAACCGGCCGCTTCATCCCAGTTCTGTTGTGATTGTCTTACGGCACAGAACCGGTGTTCATCAGATTCCTGTCCATGTTATGGTGCACGGCGTATGTGCGATGAGCATTGCGAATCAGCAAGGTACTGTCAAAAATTTCTGTTACTTTAATCATTCATAACTGCTCTTTCGATAATTTTAATGATCAGAAATGAGGAATTCAAATTGACCACTGGGCACTACACAAGTTCGAGTAAGCTCACTTTGTCGCATAGATTGGAACGAGTCAGTACGGGATTTCTTTTCTGCTTCATCGAGTATTTTGGGAGGAATTCTCAAGGGATTAAATATTGCTTTGTGGAACTATAAATGATCATATCATCTACACTCCTTTCTTTTCACCACTAGCTCTGAATTACTTCGAATTAAATCAATCAGAGCAAAGAAATCTACTAAGTCTATTAGTATATACACGAAATTTGTCTAAAAGAAATTCTATTAGTATATACACGAAATTTGTCTAAAAGAAATCTACTAACTGTAGTATACACACGTGAACACGCATGCACAACCATTTATTCTCAAATAAGTTGGTCGTAAACAGTCCTCCATCTAATTAATGTTCTATCGTTAATGTGAATGTATCTACAATAAGGAATTTGTGTATCTTGTAGTGATTAAAGCCTCAATCTCATGATCTTCTATCTGGACATTTCTGCAGAAATTGAAGTTGAGAACACTGTAATCCTGGTAACGGTCGGTTAGTTTGAACTAGAAGTCGTTAATAGCGAAGTCGTTAATAGTTGGTACTAAAGGCGTTTTATAAAAAGTCCATATATAATTAGGTACAGCAAATTTACCAAGGTATGACAAGTCATTGCAATCAGGCTATGCAGACTGCATTTCGAAAATGGATAAGTTTATGCATTTGATTAGAAAGTAAAATGAAGATTGAGGATTGCAGAAAGCTGGATGAATTAGGATGAGAGTAAGCTACGTTTTGGCGACTTTAAATTTATCTTGTGCAATAGAGGTGAAAATTTTTTGTTTCTTTAACACTAAAGATCATGAAAATCGTGAAACTGATATGTAGTGCAATTGCAATAGACACACTTCGTAATTAAGAAAATAATGAAAGCTGCGACCGGAATAATAGCACTTTGGTTAAGACTTAAGCCTGGAAAATCATAAAAATAAAGGTCTCGTTTTTGACTTCTACTAAATAGCCGGTAATTCCCTTGTTTTTATTTGTCGATTTTTATTTTCACACATCTATTAGCAATGCAATAAATATAACATTACAATGTTTTTTCTTTCTTTTTTTTTCTGCAATATTCATCCGCCAATTAGATATAGCTGGAATATTTATCCGCTAATTAGAACATACAAGTCGAGAGTATTTGTCCAGGCGTATCCTAATTAGTTAAACTGCAGGTACCGTGGTGACTGCCTCAATCAAGCAATATGCAAATGTTCGTGTGAGACTGATCCAGCAAGACCAGCAAAAAATGCATGTTCTAAATCGGAACGATGTGATTGCTTGCGGATCAAGGAACCATGTAGTAAACTTTGTGCCTGTAAACAGATATGCAAGAATAAAGAGCCACAGAAAAAAGTCCTCAAGGTATGGATACACGTCGAGTGATATAGTAGTTTGGCATTTTCGCGCTTTTATAGAAAACCTGGAACTTTAAACCAGATTTTCCTGAGGAATAGATAAT